ACCCCTCTCCTCCATTCTCCTCTCGGGATCTCGGGCACACGCACACATGCTCGGCGTGAGTTTAAGCCACCGGGTCCGGGGCTCAAACCGCGGTTGGCGACATGGGAGTCCAGCGACATAGCCATTACGCTAACTGCTGGTCCCATCACTGGCTAGTTTTGAAGTGACAATTTGGTGAGCAGCCTGGGTCCCCAAGGAGCTACCTGACATGTGTGTCCTGGCAGTGTCACGGGTTCAGGGCCTGCATCCTGCTTTCGAAGCCGTCTAGCTGCGCCTCTCTGCACCTTCCTGCAGTTTCTGCTGCTGCACAGCGCCTGCCCCCACAGCCCTCCCATGCCCAAGGAAAGCCTGGAACAGCGCATACTGTTCCTCTGTCCCCTTCCTCCCTTTTCCTTCTCTCCTGCCCCTCATCTCTAATTTAATGTACACTTTAGCGTTTTGCTGTGTGAGATTATTTTTTTCAAAATGTGATTTTTAGGAGCCAGCAGATGGCATGGTGGTTGGGCACTGGACTCCCACATGGCTGACGATGGTTCCAGTCCCGGACCTGGCGACTTGCTTTCTCACTTTCTCTCTCTCTCTGTCTCTGGCGCATCTGCATGCCATATAGCAAATTTTAAAAAATAATGATAATAAATAAAATTAAATAATTATTTTTAAAAATGTGATGTTTAGGGGGCAACAAGTCACCACCTGCTGATGGTTAAGGCTCTGGATCCTACATGGCTGACTGAGTGATTCAAGGGGATTGGAAAATCACGCTGGGTGCATGTGTGTGCATGCCCACAATCCCAAGGGCAGAATGGAGGAAAAGGGATTGTGGCATGGTCATCCTCTTGGGGGGTGATTTCTCTCTTTTTTTCTCTGTGTTTCTTTCTGATAAGTGCACATAAAACTTTTTTTGGGGGAGGGGGCAGACCAGCAGTTAACGTAATGGCTATGTCACTGGACTCCCATGTAGTCGATCGCGGTTCACGTCCCAGACCCGGGGGCTTAAAACACCGGGCACGTGTACGTACGTGCCCAAG